ATAGGACCCTACTTTGAATCGACATAAAACTGGTGCCCCTGTGCGTAAGGTGATCCCCCACTTTAGGATCCGTTCAGTTTTACTAGAAGAATCTGCAGCCGAAATCTAGACGTTGTAGCTCCAATAGGCCAGAGCTAGTGCCGATTTACGTTGAAATTTCTGTCACGGAGCGGCCGAATGGGGGCACTTCTGGCTCCCCGGGCCGGAGGCACGCGCGCCCCACCGTTTGACGGGGCTGCAAAGCCATGCCTCTTGTATCGGTGTCTGATCGCGGTTCTGGCGTGTGGTCTGGTGGCTCAGGAAGTGGCGAGCTAGATCGCTACTCGTTTCGCCTCTCCGTGTCGTAGGTTCGACTCTTGGCTTTTGGGGGATTTTATTATTTTTTATTTTTTACCCCAAGGGTTGGAAACTGTCAGGGAATGTTCAGCCTATGAATAGTAACTGCCGTGCAAAGCCAGAACGCTGTGGGATGAATGGTTTTCGATAAATTGAAGATTTTAACAAATTTACCTACAGACCTACTTTGAGACGTTCAAACGCAGGTTTCTCGGTGCGCTAGCTAATCGCCTTTTGCAGGGTCTTTTCAGTTTTAATAGAGTTATCTACAGGCGACATTGGGGCGCTGTGGCTGCAATAGGTCCGGAGTTATAGTGCCGTTTTTCGAGAAAATGAAGATTTTCACAAATTTGTCTACGGACCTAGTTTGAGTCCTTCAAACGCAGGTTTCTGAATGCGCTAGCCAATCGCTCATTGCAGGATGTATTTAGATTTACTAGAGTTATCTACGGGCGAAATCGGGACGCGGTAGCTTCAATTGAACCCTAGTTTAAGCCGATTTATGTAAAAATTTGTGTCACGAAGCGGCGGAAAGGGGGCTATTTGGAGGTCCCCGGGCCTGGGGCCGCGCACCAAGCCGGCAGTAGGGCATGTTTTGGTCGTGACTGTAATACCGGGGCTGAATCGAGTGTCTGGAGTGTGGTCTGGTGGCTCAGAAAGTTGCGTGCTGGATCGCTGCTAGTTTCGACTCTCCGTGTCGTGGGTTCGACTCTTGACTTTTGAGGGTATTTTTTCATTATTTTTTTTTCAACTCTAGGGATTTGGAACTATTAGGGAATATGCAACCCTTGAATATAAACTGCCTTGCAAAGCCAGGTCGCTAAGGGATGAATAGTTTTCGAGAAATCAAAGTTCTAAAAATTTCGAACTACGAGCCTACTTGAAACGATATAAAACTGGTTTCCCTATGCGTTAGGTGATCGCCCACTTCAGGATCTGTTCAGTTTTACTAGAGTAATCTGCAGGCGAAGTCAGGGCGCTGTAGCTCAAAAACTTTCCGAGAAAATCGCGATTTACATTTTTTTTTCGACATCGGCCTGCCGAAAAGGTGCTTTCACGGGCCGACCGGGGCGCAGGGCCGCGCGCTCGGCCAATGGGCTGGCTTGTAAACCTGTGACTCTTATACCGGTGTCTGAGCGCAGGTCTGGAGTGTGGTCTGTTGGCTCAGAAAGTTGCGTGCTGGATACTTGTTTGTTTCGGCTCTCCATGTCGTTGGTTCGACTCTTGACTTTTTGGGGATTTTATTATTCTTTATTTTTCACCCCAAGGGTTGGAAACTATCAGGGAATTTTCAGTCTATGAATAGTAACTGCCGTGCAAAGCCAGAACGCTGTGGGATGAATGGTTTTCGATAAATTGAAGATTTTAACAAATTTACCTTCAGACCTACTTTGAGACGTTCACACTGATATATAAAGTGTGCAACTGACACACACTTTAAGGTGTTTAACACCGTGTAGCACACTTCTATGTGTGCAACACGAGTTTGAACAGTTGGAAGTGTTCAACAGGTGTGTTGCACACTTGTAAATGTTCAACCTGACCGACGAGCACTATAGCTCAACGCTCAAGTTAAACACTAAAAAGTGTGCAACACACCTGTTGAACACTTCCAACTATTCAAAACTCATGTTGCACTCATAGAAGTGTGCCACACGGTGTTAAACACCTTAAAGTGTGTGTCAGTTGCACACTTTATATATCAGTGCAAACGCAGGTTTCTCGGTGCGCTAGCTAATCGCCCGTTGCATGGTCTTTTCAGTTTTTTTAGCGTTATCTACCGGCGAAGTCGGGGCGCTGTGGCTCCAATAGGTCTAGAGTTAGAGCCGTTTTTCGAGAAATTGAAGATTTTAACAAATTTGCCTACGGACCTATTATAAGTCCTTCAAACGCAGGTTTCTGAATGCGCTAGCCAATCGCTCATTGCAGGATGTATTTAGATTTACTAGAGTTATCTACAGGCGAAATCGGGGCGCTGTAGCTTCAATTGAACCCTAGTTTAAGCCGATTTATGTAAAAATTTGTGTCACGAAGCGGCGGAAAGGGGGCTATTTGGAGGTCCCCGGGCCTGG